TTGAAGGCTAGGTTCTTCTTTTGGTATTGACCTTCTTCCTCATTTAGCCTTCCAAGATCAAGCTCATGTTCTCTAAGCTTTCCAAATAACGCCGCCATGGACATTGTGGCAAGATTTTGTGACTCCGAGATGGTCGTCACCTTAGGTTGTTATTTCCTATCCAGAGATTTCAAAATTTTAACATTTAATTCATCAACGTCAAAAATTTTACCTAGTCCGGTGAGATGGTTCACGATATGAGTGAAACGTTTTTGTACGTCAAATATCGTTTCGCCTAGTTGCATCCGGAACATCTCGTATTCTTGGATTAAAGAATTTTTACGTGCTCTTTTGACGTCGTCAGTTCCTTCGTGGGTCACCCTTAGCATTTCCCACATTTATTGTGCACTTTTACAAACTGAAATTCTATAAAACTCGTCAAGGGTTAGAGCAGATGAAATTATATTTCTAGCCCTAACATCAAATTGTGCTTTTCTACTTTCTTCGGCAGTCCATCTAGAAAAAGATTTGGGAACGTCAACACCGTTCTCAGTTACTTTAGGAATATATGGACCGTTTAAAATAGCGTCCCAAACGCCTCTATCAACAGACTCTAAAAATATTTGCATACGTACCTTCCAAAAAGGATAATTTTGACCTGCAAAAAGTGGGGGTCTGTTGATAGACGCACCTTTAGCAAAAGTTTGATTTTGTCCGGCCATTTTCGAAAATTTGAATGACTATCAAAGCAAGCTCTGATACCACTTGTTAGAATCGCGCAGCAGAATGTTCGCGTGGTCGGACAAAAACCAAGAGGGGGGGTGAATTGGTTTCTTAATAAAAATTAGGTTTTCAAAATTTTCCCCAAATTTTACCGATTAAAAATTGTGTAAATGTAAATAGAGAAGAGATAGAAATCTTACACAGGAGATTTATACTAGTTCGGATCAAAAGACCCTACGTCCAATTGCTAATCACTCAAACAGAGGATTAACGTTGTCACTATGATCAAAGTTGTTACAAACAAATTACAATGAAAATATAAAGATAAGAAAACACCTCTCTTGAAATCCACAAGAGATGATGAACAGCTTTCCCTAGAGACGGCACAACACACAATCCACTAAGAACTCCACTTAGTGATTCTTATCGCTTCTAGCCCACACCAGGTTCAGAAAGCCCCCTTTCCTTGCAACAAACAGTTCTCTGGCACTCACAGCACTTAACTTTTGTATGGAAAAGGTTGTTCTTCTTTTTCTGAGTGCCAAAGGAAAGTTTAAGTAGGGAAATTAGGGTTTAGAAAAAGGGGATTTTGAAACTAAGGTTCTTGGTAATTGGGTTTTCGAAAATAGGGTTAATTTGAAATTTAAAATGAAAAACAGACTGAAATAATCGATTAAATGGAGTTATAATCGATTAAAACAGAGCCAAAAAAACAGAACCAAGAACCTCTCTGTTTTAATCGATTATTTGAAGTTTTAATTGATTATTTGACCTAATAATCGATTATTTTGATGTTTTAATCGATTAAAACAGTGAGTATATACTGAAAATGGTTTTCTCACTGTTTTAATTGATTATTTCCCTATATAATCGATTAAAGCCGAGCCTGGATGATATATTTGGGCTTTTTGAAGCTTCTAAGTTGCAGACTATGTACCGGCTATCTCAAACTCTAAAATTACAGACTCAATCTAATTAAAACAGAGTTATTACAATACAAAACAAGTCTTCAACACACTAAGTCTTTGAGTTCTTGAATCATCATCAAAATTAACAATCTTCATGTTCATCAAGTGCAACATCAAGTCCTTGAATGTTCAACAGCAACAAGTACCCTAGAAGATCTGATGAAGTAACTCACACAATATATGATAACGCAGAACACATGGAACACAAAACTAGAGCAGCTCATGACGACCACCTTCAATGACATGCAAACCCAAATTGGTCAATTGACTATTATCATGAATTCACTACAGCAGCAAGATGCAAATGCAGTTCCCTCATAAATAATTATCAATCCTAATGAGAATGTAAGTGCAATTACTATAAGAGGTCGCCGAGAAATTCAAATAGAGTAGGAGAATCTTGATACATCTTTGCTTAGTGAAGGAGAGTTATTCTTAAAGAATGTCTGCTCAGTTGAAGGCCAAGAGGATGAAGAGCTGGATCTAGGAGTTGATCTTGGCCTGATTAACCCTTAGAATCTCTGAATTTAAGCAAGCGAAGAGGAGTTGCCTGAAAGTGAATACACGGATGGAAGTTGCACTAACTGTAAGGAGATTAGTGATAGTATTACCTCTTTTGTAGGAGCGCGCACAACTACTAAAACAAGTGAAGTAAGTACACCACAGTAGCAACCTGAGAAGTTAGATCTGAAACCACTATCATCCCATTCAAAGTATGCTTACTTGGAGGAGTTGTGATTATATCTAGTGATCTTCTCCCTAATCTAGAAGGAAGGTTGTTGAAGGTGTTAAAAGAGCGCAAGAAAACATCTAAGAAGATAAACCCGAGACCAAATCTGTTTGAGTTGGTTTTCATTTACATTTGCATGTGCATTTGCATAACATAAATTCTTCACATTGACGATAATGTTGATTTTAAAAGTGAGGAGTATTTGCATTTCATGCATAAGGTTTCATTCATATATTTTGTTTAAATTGTTGTGTAATGTTGTAGATTGATGGGAGACTACTTTAGAAAAGATAACCGACTTGATCAAGAGGAAGAGTTCAAAGTTTGAAAGGTTTGATTCACATAGGAAGTCATGGTCGGGTTACATTAACATTAGTTTGGATTGATTTCAAGGTGAATAAAACACCTAGGTGAGTTTTGACACTTATTCCTTTTTGTGTGCACCACTCATGCATGACATGAGAACCTTCCAAAATTTGATTGATTTTTCTATGAGACCAAACAAGAATATACACTAGTAGATATAATTTAGGCTTTCTTTGTCTTAACTACTTAACCAAATTGTCTACCCTTGTTTAAATTATCCCGAGAATTAAAATCTTTTCAACCAAAAAATCTCACACCTAGACTTCAAGGAAAGTAAGGAGCATGGAATCGTCATAAAAATCCACTTCTACTCATAGCCAACAATTCCAAAGAAAGGAGAAGTCTTAAAGTATCAAGAAAAAGAAAAAAAAAAATCATTTTGTTTGTGTCAAAGCAATAAAAGAATTCTAAAGGCACTTTAACAAAAATGTGACAAAACATAAAGATGTAATTGGAACAAAGTTTCACTACAAGAAAAAATACTTTTAACGACCGAAAAAATCAGTTGCTAATGTCAAAGAATGGGTCACTAATCAGTTAACGACCAAAATGTGTCATCGCAAAAGGCCAAATTGCTAAATCTTTAGCAACCGATTTTCATTTCAGTCGCAAAATAGCAACCAGTAAGGTGGTCGTAGTCACTAAATAATTCGATCACTTATTCCTTAAAACTCAAAATAACGATCGAAATTAATATAATAAATTGATCGCTAAATCGATGATAAAGTTTAAAAAAAATAACAACTAATATAATCGGTCGCTAATATATTAATTGATTTATTTAAATAATAATTAAAATTGACCGTTAAATCGATCACAAAAATAATGACCAAAATTAATATATTAAATCGGTTGCTAAATTGAGATAAAATTAAAAATAGTAACGATCGATTATATCGATCGCTAATATAATAATTAAATTATTTAAATAATAATTTAAATCAATCACTAAATCGATCACATAAATAATCATAGAATAATTTCGATTATTAAATTTCAATTATATATTATAATATATTTGTAGCGACCAAAAGCTAATCTAACCAAATGTAAAATTTATTTTTTAAATTTTGTATATCCAATTTTGTAGAATTTGTACCGCTTAATTGATCCAAACATAACACAAATAAAAACTTAAGAACTAAAGTCAAATTATTCAAATCATAATAGGAACACATGAAAACTTAAAAACTAAAATCAAATTATTCAAATCATAATAGGAACAATTAAAAGTCATGCAAACACTCAAGATTCAAAGTCATAACAAAAATAAAGTATTTCTAAAAAATCACTCAAGATTCAAAATCTTAATATGATAAAATTAGAAATTAGTCCTTCGATATATTGTCAGTATTATGTTGACTTGTAATAGAATCACTAGGGTTAGGCATAGGATGACTAATGTTGTAAAATAAGCTTCATCTGTTCATCTTGTTGGCATTGATTGTTCCTCAACTCCTGCGTCTCTTCTTGACTTATTCCCTGCGATGCACATATTGCTCCTAAAAATGAAGTGAATATATAATTATTATAAAAAAAACATATACAAAATATAAACTATAACTTAGATGTTAAACATTCAAGCAAGATAACAAGTCTTTTCATTGACCCAATGTCCAATCTTTAATTTCTTTGTCCTCTCAACATCTTCTCAAACGGTTGGTTCCCGTTGAAACTCTATAGTCTACACATCAAAAATGAGACAAAATTCATTACCTAAAGTCTAATATATTGTATTAAATTACTTATATAAAAGTATAATAAAATTACTATCTTCTCAAAGTGAGGTGCAGTAAATATGGAACCCCATAGTAACTTGAGGTACCCTTATCAAGAGTCCGACTAGCCTTGGCAATGGCGCCCTTGAGCTGGAACTCACTCAACTCTCATTCTTACAAACAAACTCATTTAAAGAGAATAACCCATAAATATTGTGGGCACGAAAATAGTGCAAAAGTCAACTTGACAAAATGTGGCATATCACGATAAGTAGAGAGCAACAAGAATACTGCTAACAACAAACCAAATTAAATTCAAACAGGCCCAAGCACTAAACCCACACATCCAGGGAAACAAAACAATGTTCAAATAATTCCCCACACAATTAGCCTCAACCACCAGCTTCTAGCTATCCAAATCAAACTAAGAGATCAGTCCAAAATATCAAACATATATAAAAGGAATAAAGAAACGAAACCAGAACAAACAAGTATATCCCTAAGGGAAATCCAGACATGGAAGACAAAAGAAAAACTGTAGAGACCGTTTCTATCCATGACCACCTAGACTCAATCCTTGAGTCGTTAAGGAATAACATATAACCCATCAGACAACTCCATTCGATAAGGACCAATTTTAACCCACCGAACCAGGTGAAGGAAAAGCAACAGATTCAAACTAACAAAAATTAGTTGTACCCAATACAACCAAACCCAGGATACTCGATCTAACAAAATCCAAACAGCCACCATATAACCCACATCAGAACAAGACAAACTTAAACCAGGCAGCAAACAAATCTAAATTTTGGTTTAAACGTAAACAAAATGAATTAGCCACAGACGAAGCAAAACAATTTAATATCCAGGCAGGGGCGTGTAACCACAACCTGACCAAACCCAAGCACAGATAAGAGACAAAAAATAATCAAACCCACTCGGCTTTGATTTGGGCAACGCAGCGCGGGGGTGCTGTGCTCACCGGAAGCACGGGGTTCGCGATGGAGCTCGTGGTGGCCGCTGACGGCGCGATTCGCGGTGGTTTAGGGGCTGGTGGTGCGCGATGGTGATTTGGGAGAGGTTACAGGGAGTAGGGATGCTGGTGGTTCCGCGGTGCGCAACAGGGCGAGGGGCTTTTGGGGCTTGCTAGGGTGGAGGCACGGTGGCCGTGAGCTAAGGATGAGTGGCGGTGAGATGGGAATGGGATCCAGGGAAGGTGCGGTCAAGGCCCGTGGTGGTTAGCCGCACGGTGGGTTGACTAGGATTGCGACTACAAGGGTGGAAGTGCAGGAGTGGTGTGCACAGTGAGGTAGTGGGGGTGCCGCGGAGAATCGCGCGCGGCTAGGGCTAGGGTTAGTGCTGGGTGTGGGCTGCGATAGGGGTGGCCCGGCTGAGACCCGCGGTGGCTAGCATTCGAGGTGGTGACTGTGGTTGGAGTTAGGGCGTGGTGGCGAAGCCGCGGCGACTCGAGGCGGCTGGTCGGGGGATTTGAGAAGGGAGATGGTATGGGGTTAGTGGCGCGGCTAAGACCCGTGGTGGTTAGCCGCGCGGTGGATGTGGCTGTGGGATTGAGGGCTGTTGATAGTGCGATTAAGATGGCAACGAAGGGGAAAGAGAAGGGATCTTGGAGGATGAAGGAGAGGCGTGGAGTTGGATGCAGGGGAAGGGAGATTGAGAGAGGAAGAGGTGGTCGTGGAGAGGGAGTGAGGGCTGTTGATGGTGAGAGAGGATGGGAGTGTGAGGGCCAATGAGTGAGGGAGAGTGGGGCTGAGGGTGTGAATGAGGCGGGGGGGTGGGGGTGGGGGGTGTTAGGGCTGTGGTGCCGAGAATGGGAGAAGAGAGTGAGCAGGTGTGCTGCCCTGATAAAAAAAAATGGGAAAGAGAATATTGTGCGGTCTCCCACAAAATCATTATTCATCCTTTTTTTAAAGAGTAAATTAAGTTAAACAAAAAGCATATATTTTTTTTATGGATTGGGCAAAAAATAAGATCAAATTTTTCATATATATATTTAAAAAAAAAGTAAATGGTGATAAAAGAATCTTTTTTTTTTACTTTTTTTTCATTTTTCTCATATTTTTATTTTTCATAAATTTTTTTCTTTTTTTTTTCTTGAATGTGTAAAATGTTAATAAGAGAAAATATATTTTTTTAATCATATTTTTCATTTTTCCTTTTTTTTTAAATTAAAAAAATATATTAAGATAAATAAAACCTTTTTTTCTTTTTTTTTTCGTTTTTTCATATTTTCAAAACGAATGATAATAAAAGAAAAAATATATACTATTTCATTTTTATTTTTAAATATTAGTTTGTACATTACTAATTAATTTTAATTAAATAATTAAAGTGATATATATATATATATATATATTTAATTTATTAATATTATCAAATTTTAGCTTTATAATTAAAAAAATTATCAATAATTTAAATTTTATTAATTCTATAATTTTTTATAATTATTATTATAAATAGTGAATGGAAAATTGGATTTAAAGGGTATGAATAAAAATTTACAACATTTTTAAAATGAAATCAGTAATTAAATATGTGAAGGGTAAAGGGTAGAAGAGTTTAACGTGTTACGATCAAATTAAATATAATAATATTTTTATAAATATTATAATAATAAAATCAATTTAACCTAAAATTTGAACTAATTTTTTCAATTTTATTTGTTTTATCTCAATTTAATTCAAATTTATTTATTTACAAGCAATTATTTTTTTTACGTTAAGGATTGATCAATAAAAAATTATATTAATAATATATAAATTGAAGTATAAATATAAATTAGAGTGAAAAGACAAAATTAGAGTAGATAATAAACATTCTCTTCAAAATTTAAAATATTATTATTATTAATTTATTGTTCATAATTCTAGTTTCATTAAATTTATTTCAAACGTTAATAGTATTCTGAGATGCATAATAAGTTTAATTTTAAAAGTCTTTCAAACATCAAACATATAAAATTATTATCAAGAATCAATACTATTATGCAATATTAATCTATATATTTGGTTATATATATATATATATATATATATATATATATATATATATATAAATTAAGAATCGTTATATTTTATATTTTAAAAATGTATAAAAATTTAGATAATTATTTTAAACATTAATAAAATTAGTTCAATAATTATATTTTCAATTTTTATTAGTCTATAAAAACTTAAAAAAACTATAATGTGCTTTTTATTTTTATCTTCTATTTTTATAAACAATATTTGAACATTACTAATTAAATTATATTATTGTTATCCTAAAAAATTATTAAATTTTATAAGTTGTCCTTGTTATTAATATTATCTATTTTATTTAAAATAATTTATTAATTTAAAGTAATAAAAATTTATTTATTTAAAAAATAAGATTAATTATTAAAACTGTTTTTAAAAACTAAATTAAATCAAAATACCTCTACTGAACTTTTTTTTATTACATCAAATTGTTTAGTTTTATTTTTATGTTTTTTTTAATATTTACATATGGAGAAATTATTAAACGATTTAAAATATTTTTATTTGTTTGTTTTTACTGCTATGTTAGAATATTACCAATGAGAATTGAGATATTTAAAATAAAATATTACCTAATTTAACCAATTTTTTTTTAAATAATTAATCTACGAAGTATTTTAATTTCATGATAGAATAAGATAGTTAAATTAATTATCTCCAATTCACTTTTATTTTTTAAAAGAGAAAAATAATATATATCATCTCCTGTAAATTTACTAAATATAATCATCGATTTAATAATATATTTTCAAAATATTAATTTACTATTTTCAACCATAAATCTAAATATATTATTAATCTAATAAATATATAAATCTTTCTAAAATTATAATTTAAAATTATATATTTTAAATAAAACATTATAATATTATATATATATATATATATATATATTTATTGTTTTATTTAATGTATATTTAAAAACTAATTGATTATTTAAAAAACTAATAAATTAGTTTTTCAATTATTCGATTACTTCGATTTATTTTTTAAATAATTGATTACTTTTTTAAATAATTGATTAGAATCGATTAATATTTTAAATATACATTAAATAATTATAAAAAAAATTATATTAAATTAAAATTAAAAAAAATTATTTATAAATTATATATATTATATAAATCATAATTATAAAGTTAAAAAAAATTATATTTAAAATTATAATATTAAAATTATAATTATAAAATTAATAAAAATATAACTATTTTTAATGTTAAGTAAATAATATATATATATTACATAAAATAAAATTACATATATGAACTTCCAATTAATTATATATATATATATATATATATTCATAAATTAAAATAATAATTATTAACATAAAAATAAATTATATTTAGAATTATAATATATATATATATAACTTATTTTTATTTCTAAAATATAATATATATATATATATATATATATATATATATATTTCAAAATATTACAAAAACACACAAAAATACATCTCAAAAATATAATTTTACATAAAAATATCATTTTATCTTATATACATATAATTTTTAAGATTTTTATTATCTCCTAATTTATTATTAATTTATAAAAAAATATTACAATATTAAATAAATCAAAGAATTAAAAAAAATTAATCATATAAATATAATATTTAATAATATATTTTAAAAATATTATTTTATTACTTTCAACAATAAATCTATTAAGCTAATAAATATATAAATCTTTTTAAAATTATAATTTAAAACTATAAATTTTAAATAAAATATTATAATATTATATATATATATATATATATATATATATGTATATATATAGAGTTTTATTTAATGTATATTTGAAAAACTTATGGATTAATTTTTCTATTATTCGATTATGATCAATTAGTTTTTCAAATTACTTTTTCAAATGAGCGATTAGCTTTTCAAATATAAATTAAATAATTACAAATAAAAATATATATCAAATTAAAATTAAAAAAAATATTTATAAATTATATATATTATATAAATTATAATTCTAAAATAAAAAAATTATATTTATAATTATAATCTTAAAAAATATAATTATTTTTAATGTTAAATAAATGATATATATTATATAAATTATATATATATATATATATATATATATATATTACACAAATTGAAGTTACATATATATAAACTTTAAATTATATATATTTATTTATTTATTTTTTCAAAATATAACTTATTTTCATTTTAAAATATAATATATATATATATATATATATATATATTCCAAAATATTACAAAACACAAAAAAAATACATTTCAAAAACATAATTTTACCTAAAAATATTATTTCATCTTATATACATATAATTTTTAAGAGTTTTATTATCCTCTCAATTCATTATTAATTTCTAAAAAAAATATTACAATATCAAATAAATTAAAGAATTAAACAAAATTAATCATACAAATAATATATAAATACAATATTTAATAATATATTTTAAAAATATTATTTTACTACTTTCAACATAAATCTAAATATATTATTAATTTAAGAAATATATAAATCTTTTTAAAATTATAATTTAAAACTATAAATTTTAAATAAAATTATAATATATATTATATATATATATATATATATATATATATATAGTTAGTTTTTCTTTCTTAACAAAATAAACAAAAAAATAAAAAGAAATTCGATTGTCGAAAACCGAATTCTAAATAGTTTGAAAGAAAAAAATAATATGAAACTACATTCAAATTTCGTGTATCAAGGAATCCAATTTGTAAGTTAAAAAAAATTGTGTTATGTAGGTAAATTAAACTTACATTGTATTACTTGAGTAATTAAAAAATGAATATGTGCTATTGCAAAAAAAAATTGTATAATTAAAGTAAAAAATATTTCAACTAAAGATAATTATATTTTTATAAATAATTAAATTACATAATATATTTATTATCTAATGTATATCAATTATATTTTGATATAAATTTTTTTCTGGTATATCAATTATATGAAAACAATCATGGTTAAGTAATTAATAATAATAAAGCAATAAATTTAAAAACTAGATTAAAAATAAAGTATTATAAAATAAAATTGTAATAATTTGATTGAAATTGTAATTTTTTTAATTAATTAAGTTAATGAGGAATTAAAATATGATAATTTGATGTGTTCAATTTTTTTAATATAAATTTTTAAAATATAATTTAATTTCAATTGAAATTTTCAATTGAAAAATATATTAAAGAATATTTGTTATTAAAATTTTCTTAAACATTGTATTTAATAATTAATATTACTTCAATCTTAATTTATTACAATTTATTTTTTTAATAAATTTGATTTATTTTTAATAATATTTTTATTTTAGTAATTTAAAATTAAAGTTAATATTCATTTTGTTAACATTGAAACCAAAGTTTATTTTTAAAGTATATTTTAAAAAATAAATTACTTTTAAAAAATAAATTACTTTTAATAAATAAATTGTAAAAAATATACTAAAACAATTAAAGTATATTTATAAAAAAATAAATTTAAAAATAATTAAAAAAATTATGTCTATTAGTGACCGATTGTAATTCGATCGTTATTTTCTCATTAGTGACTGATTTAAATTCGGTCACTATTTCAATTTGTAATTCGGTCGCTAAATCAGTCGTTAAATAATTTTTTTAATTTTAGTATTGAATAGTCACCGATTTAGCGACCGAAATTTTGCGACGCAAACTATTGGTTGCTATTTCGGTCGCTAAATATAAAAGTGAAACCAAATCATATTTCAGTGACAAAATTGGTCGCTAATTGCAACCGAATTACATCGGTCGCTAAATTGTGACCAAATTAAATCGGTAGCTAAATCGGTCGTTAATGGCGAAAAAAAAATTTGTTCGCTAAAAGTATTTTTTCTTGTTGTGTTTCACGGTACATTGATCTATGTTCTTTATTTTCCTAAAGTCTTAACTCACTTTCCTAAAATAACCTACCTTGAACCCTAGCCCCATTACAAGCCAAGTAAAAGTCCTATTGATATGTGGAGGTATGTGTTCTAATGGTGGAAATTTATAAATCTTTCAAGTCTATAGTAAAGGATGATGTCATGATGTGATGATGAGTGAAATTTTCAGCATAAACAGTTGAGATATTAAAGTAAACACTTTACCACGGAGGATGTTCCCTTGAGATCAGTCTTGGAACTCTTAAACAGTACTTGACCATGATAATACTTTGTGAGTTATGATCTTAAACTTTTTTATTCTATCACTTTTGGTTAATGAAGTTTTCCTTGAATATTGTAGTTTTCAGGATGTCACTAACTTTGCAACAATAATCTTTACACTGCAATCATTTTTTTCTTTTCTTTCTTTTATCTTTTGCTTGGAAGTGCAAAAAAGTAAAGGTGAAGATTATTTGATGCATGTCATTTTAGTTTTTATTTCTTCATCTAATAGTATTTTCTAAGCTAATTTATTTTATTCATAAACCAAACATTTAACATGTTTTCATTAAAAATATAACATAATTCATCTTTTCTTAATTTGTTGCATTTTATATAGTTTTAGCATAATAAACAATATACATTCATACATCCACATTGTATATTTCTTTTTTATTTTTCTTTTGTAAGAGAGGTAATTTTGGATGGACAAAAGTAATGGAAAGAAATGTCCAGATTGATGCCTACAACTTCACTCTTCTTGGAAGCCCAAGTTTTCTTATGCAGTATACTTGGAGAATGTTACATATGGAAATTTTGAATCAAGCAAATTAACTTGTACGGGAATCCAATTTAGCTAAATTAAAGGCCAGCAAGAATCAAGAATTAAATGCATATCAGTGCAGGATCACTCAAGATAGGAAAGAAGAATATTATTTTCTCTAAATCAGTTCCAGAAATTTCTCTTCACAGTAATCCAATTTTGTAATTAATTATTTGAGAAATATTTGATTTTATGCTAATTAATTTAAAGCTTAATTTCTCTTGTTCAAACCCCTATAAATAGAGGTCTTACAAAAAACACAATCATAATCTCCTAGCCCGGGGTGAGAACTGTTGTTTTGTATTGTCCCCATTTTCTTTTCTTATTCTCAGTTCTTAGTTTTGTTTTTAGTTAAGCGAGTCATCTACTCGCTACTGCACTTTTGGTTTGTTCTCTTTTATTTAATTTTCAATTTCTATTGAATTTTCCAGTTTATGTTGTTCTATTTACTTTATTTATTCAATACTCATTTTAATCTCTACTATATAATTGTTTAGAATTTTTGTTCTCGTATCTGCTTAATTTTCGTTTTTAATTCATCTCTTTTCCAATTCCAATTCTCAATTTAGTTTTAGTGTTATCGTTTCCAGAAATTTCAAATTTAATTTCTGCACTATTTTATTTTAAAGCAATTATTAAATCTTGCACTTTTAATTAAAAGCACTTTATTTTGATTTTATAAATTTTAGTTATTTAAATTCTACTTCCATTTAATTTTATTTATCATTAATATTCTATATCAATTTGATTTTAAATTTTTATTATTCTGCATCAATTTATTTCTTTTTTACTTTTCATTCGTACCTTATTTACTATCTTAGAGCAGAAGGTATGTGGTAATGAGTACGTTCATATAATTGTGTGCTTGTGAGATTTGACATGGGTTAGTTATACTGCATTAGTTTAACAACTTATTTATTATTTTTTATGAGTATTTTGTGCGACCAAAAATACTGTTATTAGTGAGATAGACAGAACGAGATGATAAGAGTGACAACATCACTAGTTGTATTATTAGAATTCACACCATAGTCATTAAAACAAACCTTTGTAAAAAAATGATAAAAAATAAAGTCATGATGGATAGAAAAGAAGACATAAAATATTAGAATTGTTCCACAATTTATAACCAACAAGAAAGATAACAAATTATAAAATAATGAGGGAATACTTACTTTAAAAATAGTCAATTTAAAAAAAAATATTTTTTAAATTAAAAATTTATTTATCAAATGTGCATTTAGTGTTGGATCTAAAAGTGATCCCAATATGATTTAAATTCT